TGCTGCTGCACCTGCTGCTGCTGCTGCACCTGCTGCTGCTGCTGCTGCTGCTGCAGGTTGGATGTCGAAGCCGGCGTTTATGTTTTATTTGGATATGGTCCACGACGTCCTCAGCCTCGGCATCTTCCTTGTCAGTTTTTAGTTTAATTTAATTTATTATTTTTTATTTATTTCTATTCTTATTTATTTTTATTTATTTTACTTCTTTTTATTTCTTTTATTTCTTTTTCCTTTCAATTATATTTAGCTCTTTTGTCTCTGTTTTGTTTCTTGTGTTTCATTTTTCTTTCTTGTTTTTCAATCTCCTTTTTCTCGCTCTTTATTCTTTAAATTTATTTTTTCTTTTTTCGAATTTAATTTTTATTTCTCTTGTTTTGTTTTATCTCCTTTAATATCTTCTTTTAATTTCGATTTAACTGAAATTAACTGAAATTAATTGACTAAATTAATTAAATTATTTAATTTAATTAATTTAATTAATTTAATTAATTAATTTAATTTAATTAATTAAATTGATTTAATTGAATTAAATAGATTAAATTGATTAATTGATTTAATTGAATTAAATAGATTAAATTGATTAAGTTTAATTTGGAAGCATTTGAAAAGCGAGGTTTTCGATTTTGGGACGAAAAAAGTTTCTTTTTCTCTGCTTTTTGGAAATAAAAACTCTCCGGAACATTGCGCATGCATCTGGGTCCTTTTCGGTTTGTTTTCTGCCTTTTTTGGGCCTCTTTTTGGGGCTTTTAGGCCTTCATGTTGATCTTTTTCTTCACCCAGCCCTCCAGATTGCCGCTCTACATGACAGCAGACATTCTCCACGTCTCCAAGGCGCTTTACCGCCGCGTCCTTTCCTTCCGCAAGTACAGGGCCCTCTCCAAAAACCTCGATTCCAGGTCTTTTTTCTCCCTTTTTGTCCCTTTTTGGTCCCTTTTTGGTCCTCCTTTGCTTCCCCTTTTGTCGGCTTTTCATTTCCTCTCTTTTGGCGCGTTTGGCGCCTTGTTTTCGTTTTTTTTGGCGTTTTTTGGCTTTTTTGTCCCTTTCCCTCTTTTGCAATTCTTGTCCCTTTTTGGTCCTTTTCTGGCCCTTTTCTGTCCCCTTTTTGTCTCCTTTTTGTCCCTTTTTGTCTCCTTTTGTTGTTTCTTTTATTTGCTTTTAATTTCCTTTTTTTGGGTCCTCTTGGGGCCTTATTTCCGTCTTCTTTTTCCATTTTTTCGGCTTTTCTGTCTCCTTCTTGTCCCTTTTTTGTCCCTCTTTGTCTTCCTTTTTGTCTCCCTTTTTGTCTCCCTTTTTGTGTCTCTTTTTGTCTTCCATTTCTCTTTTTTTTGGTTCTCTCCGGTCTCTTTTTTTGTCTTTTTTGTCCCTTTTTTGTTTTTTGTCTTTTTTGTCTCCTGTTTGTCTCTTCTTGTTTTTTCTCTTTTGGGGCTTTTTTTTTGCCTCACTCTCATTTTTGAAAATGTTATTTAAGTTCCTTTTTAATTTCTTTTTTAATGTCTTTTTGAATTTCTTTTTTAATTTCTTGTTGATTTCTTTTTTTATTTCTTTTTTTGTTTTCTTTTTGTTTATTTTTAATCTCTTTTTTGTCTTTTTTTCGTTCCCTTTTTTGTGTCTTTTCTGTTTCTTTTTTGTCTCTTTTTTATCTTTTTTTGTTCTTTTTGTTTCTCCTTTTGTTCTTTTTTTGTTTCCTTTTTGTCATCTTCTTGGACCCTATTTTTAATTTCATTTTCATCTTTTTTGAACTCCCGCGGAACCTTTTTAAAATCCTTTTTAGAATTGTTTTCTGTCTGCTGCTGCTGCTGCTGCTGCTGCTGCAGGTTCCCGGACGCAACAGCAGAAGAGCTGGAAGCAGCAGACACCTGCATCATCTGTAGAGACACCCTGGCCCCTGGCAGCAAAAAGCTGCCCTGCAGCCACATATTCCACATTGACTGTCTCAGGTCAGCAGCAGCAGCAGCAGCAGCAGCAGGAGCAGCAGTAGCAGCAGCAGTAGCAGTACCAGCAGCAGTGGCACCGGCAGCAGTGAAGTAGCACCAGTGGCAGCAGCAGGAGCAGCAGGAGCAGCAGTAGCAGCAGGAGCTGTGGCAGCAGTAGCAGCAGCAATAGAGTGACAGCATTAGCAGCAGCAGCAGCAGCAGCAGCAGTAGCAGCAGCAGCAGCAGCGTAGTGAGGGCAGCGGTAGGGGTAGTTGGCTGTTAGGCAGTGGAAGACAATGGGCAGAGCCACACCACGAAAATCAGCAGCAACAGCAGCAGCAGCAGCAGCAGCAGGCTTTTTGCATTTTTGCTGCTTCATTTCAGGGCCTGGCTGGTGCAGCAGCAGTCATGCCCCACTTGCCGAGCTGACATTCCTGTGGAACCGCCGAGAGCAGCAGCAGCAAGAGAGCAGCAGCAGCAGCAGCAGCAGCAGCAGGACCCAGCAGGTGGAGCAGCGCCTGCAGCAGCGGCTGGAGGGGCCGCAGAGCCAGCAGCAGCAGCTGCTGCAGCAGCAGACGGAAGCCTGCCCGCGCAGCAGCGGGGCAGCAGCAGCAGCAGCAGCAGCAGCAGCAGCAGCAGCAGCGGGGGCCGCCCCAACACTGGAGTCAGCCGCAGCAGCAGCACAAATCTCTTTGGGGCTTTTTCTCTTTTCTCTGAACAAGCTCTGGGTGCGCGGCGCAGGCCTGCTGCTGCTGCTGCTGCTGCTGCTGCTGCAGACCTCAGCTCCAGCAGCAGCAGCAGCAGCAGCAGCAGCAGGAGGACGCCGCCGCC